TTTCCCTGACATAGCACAGTGGAGAGGCTCATGTTTGTTAGTACATTTTGGCTTCTTTTCTGTGTCTTACAGAGTCTGTAACTTCAATGTGTTCCTGACTGCAAGTTTAAACTAGTCAGCCTAGGTCCTGTGTAATCTAAGTAGCTCTAAACTGTGAGAAAACTGCTTCAGTGTCTCTCATTGCTCTTTCTTTTCATAAGAGCTGAAGAAAACAAAGGTTTGGGAGCACTGAACCAGGGTGGAAGCAAAAAGCTGCTCAGGACTACCAAGCACAAAGGGTCAGCTCCTCCTCCCTGCTCCGGGATTGCTCCCAGTGCAGTGGTTGTTCCTTTCCAGTGTGGACGTTTTGAGAAGCAGGCAGAGGGGCAGTGACTGCTCCAGTTGGGACAACAGAAAAAAGCCAAAAAAAGAAAGGACATGTGTCTCTGGGCAGTGAAATCCAGTGATTGGGTGGAAGGCTCAATCCACTGATGGGAACTGGCAGTTCATTAATAATCTTATTAATATATAGTGTGGGGGGTTGCTTCTATTCATACATTTGTTTGCTGAACTAAAGAAATCCCATTTTATTTAAACAAAAGAAGTTAGGTGGCAGGCTTGTGAGCACTTCACAAGATACTGATAGAGGGTAGGATAATTGGTACAGCTGGCTGATCTGCAGGTTTGGGGGGGAGAGGGTTGCCTCAGGAGTGCAACTTGCCCTCGGCATCAACATTCAGTGAATTCTGGTCCCTCGTCAGGAATATTTATTCACCCACAGACAGCCTGGCTGCAGTTTCCTCCTCAGCTACGTTTTCCAGGTGAATTCACAACAAATCAGCACTTCACATTCCCCACATCACATCTGCCTTCTGGAAGGATCCAGCTGGAAAAAAAAAAATAGAAAAAAAATGATATTCTGTTGGTATTTGAATCTTCCTCCTCTCTCCCCTCACCCTCCTCCCCTTCCTCTCTCGTGCCTGCTTCCTGAAGGAGAAAAGAACATATCAACCCAAAGACAGCATTGCAACCTTTTCTTCACTATCTCCCATGGGGCACAAATTGAAATTGAATTAGACAGGGATATCAGGTCTGCTCACTGTGATAACTGTAAAAGGATTTTATTTAAAAACACCCTGACATTTGTTCACCCAGTTTCAAATATTTAGCTTTCCCCCTTTCCATTCCTGGCGGGGGCGACTTTATTAATTGTCGCCTTTGATTCAGAGTTAAAGCTTGAAAGCCCTGATAACAGCACTGCTGACTATTTCTTCTAGTGACGTGGCCCACAGCAAAAGGATTTCATTTTCTTAAAGATGTTCTGTGTACACTGAGAGTTTATTAAAAACGAGGGGAGAGAAGGAGGAGGGGGGGAAAAATCCGTTCTTACGTGCGTAACACCGGCTGTTTCTCACTGATAGGAGCAATATCTGATCTCACTCTTCTTTTATATATTATTTATTTTCTCTGGGCTGTTGCCCTCTCTGGGTTTTTCTTTTTCTTTTCTTAAAAAAAAATAATAAAGAAGTGGGAAAGCCAACTAGAATGAAAGAGCACTGTTGACAGGAGAAAATGGTAATTTTTTTGTATTTTCCTCTGAAAATACTTCAAAGTTTTATATAAATATTAACCTTTTTTTTTTTTCCTCCCTTCCCCTTCTTCGATGTGGTGCTGCAGAGCACAGATAAATCCAAGTGGCTGTGGCATGGGCATTTAATTTCCCTAAGAAGTTTTCTCTGCTTCATGGAAAAATGTTGTCTGAGACCAGAAAAGTAATTGGATGATTAAAGAGAGTCATCTACGTCTGGTTATGGTTAATAAGGGCCAGGACAAGAAGACCATGGTGGCCCCACAGGATTGTCACAAGGCGACGTGTAAATTAGGTGATATTAGAGGCACGAGTCTGAGGTCAGCAGTTGCCTCTTGCTGCCTGTTATCAAAAGATTGAGGCGAGGGAAGGGAGTGACAACAAGAAAAGGGACTTTTTGGATTTACCTTCTAAATGGTGAGCGACCTAATTACAGAAAGTCTGGGGCCGGTTCGCCCGCCGCGCCTGCCGTGGCAGTTGTCAGGGGCAGCGCGGGCTGGATCTCCTCTTCCTGAGACTTGGGAGCTCTGCATATGGTGCTGTGCTGACCCCACAGCTCTCCCAAAGTGTGCTGGGGGGAATCAGCTGGCAGGTGAGCCTGTGGGGGACTGAGCACCCATGCTGAGATTCTTGTAATCCCCTCTGGCTTCAGCAGGAGCGTGGCGTTCCCAGCACCGGCGGCTCAGGAGGGTGTCCCGCTCTGTAACGAGTGAGATGATGGTTTGGGGTTGTTTTTTGAACATGATGTGTTGCTTTTTTTAATGTCAGTCATTGAGAGCACATTTGAGAGCAGAGAAGAGCCTGTGCAAGGGGAGAGCCCCACCCTCAATCCCATGGATGACATGGCCAGCCTTGGCTCTCCCCAGCAGTTCACACCTTTGCCAAATGGCCCCAGGGAGAGCTAGAAGCAGGGTTACCCCATCAGTTCTGTGTCCTCCAGAGGGAACTCCATGCATCCATCTGCTTTTTGTGAGGGATTTGTGGGCTCATCTCTTTGTCACCATCTACAAGGACAGGCTGAACACCACCTTCTTCAGGGGGCTTAACCATAAGTGTCCAGGACCTGCAAGATTATCTGGTCTTGGTCAACTCATCCAACCGCTTTTCTGGGCCAGGGTTTCCATGGTCAGGTTTCCTCTTGTGCACAGGGCTTTGCACTTTGATTTCTTCTGGAGAGTTGTGGAAGTGTTGCTGCATGCAGCTTTAATATTATGTGTTCCTGCCAACACCTTTTGATGAATGAAAGCCATTAAAATTGGAAATTACTGTAATCAAGTGATGTGATATTGTAATGCTAAACTTGTAATCAGTCCCTTGCATGTTGCTTTCTCCAGTTTCTTTTCTTTCTTTTTTTAAAGCTTGTTAATTCTTCCTTTGAGTGTTCACTTTTTCAGCCCAGCCTCTTAATAAAAGGCTTTAGTGTCCCAGCAAAAAGAGCATTTTCCCTTATTTATTTTTTTTTTCTAGAGCTAACATCTCACAAAAATTAATTTATCACATTATCATTTGTTGTTGGATTTAAGTAATTAGTGTCAGCTTCCTGGCTGGGGGTCTGTTTGTGTATAGGAAGAGGATTCAGAGATAAAAAAGTCTTTGATAGTCCCAGCCTTGTAATATTCACACTGACCTAGATTTGAGTCAGAAAGTGCTGCTGTACTTACAGATGTGGGATGTATCAGATGGCTTTTTATCTCCAAACAAGTGGGGTGGCTGAAAAGGCTCTTTTCACGTGGTGTCTCCTGCTTGTGCATCCTGGTGCAAACCAGTCCTGCTCTTGATTTGAATGTATCTGCTTCACTTGAGTGTGTTCCAGGCTAATTAAATATCCTGCAGCAGACAACTGTGACATGGCACAAGGAGGATGGGAGCAAAGAGTCAGAACAGCCTTTGTAGGGGTTTAAAATATAAATAATTAAGACCAGAGTGATAAGTAGGGCTTCCAATTAAGGGAAAAAAAAAAAAAAAGGAAAGCTTGAACATCTCTTTTGGAGCCAAACCCAGATGTTTTTCTCCCTTATTAAAATATATACTAAAAATACCACAACTTTACAGTTCTTGAATTGTTGGAAATGGTTTGCAGATGAAGTCATTGAGCTCTTTTTGTTATTATCCATCCATCCCTGTGCTTTCTGGGAATTCTCTCAGGGTATTCTGGACTCCAGAGATGACCCAGAGCAGGAACAAATCAAGGGCTTTTTTTTTCTTCTTGTTTTAAGTGCTGATTTTTCAATCCACCGATGACTTGGAATATGCTAAGTTAAGTCTAGCTCTGTAAAGTGGATACATAGAAGTGAGAAGAAAGAGGAAAATGAGAAAATGAATCAAAATGCAAATGCTCCCTAGAAGTGGAGAACTATGAAGCCTCCCCTTTCATGTATTGTTGTAACAGGAGGGTTGCTGGTGACTGCAGCCCCGTAAAGGGAGGGTGCTTAGCAGTGCTTCAGGAAGCAATACTTGGTGGGAACCAGCCTGTTCCTTTTTGGCTTTTACTGAAAGTCTTTTTGCATAACGTGTTCCTGTTGGTTTTGCAGGTCAGCCATCAGCTGGGCAACGTGATGGATCTCTTCAGCACCAGCCTCTCCCTGGCGGGGCTGGAGCCTCCTGCTGACAGACAGATTGATGGCATCGACCTTTTACCTGCCATGGTGCTGGGCAAGCTAATTGACAGGTTAGTTATGAGCCCAGAGCTCTGGCTCTTGCTCCAAACTGAAACGATGCCAAATGTTGGCTGATTTTTATGTTTTTTTCAAGTCAGGTTCATGGAAATACTTTTTATAAAGGGAATGGTGTGTCTTCACTGCTGCTCAGTGGAGTGGGGCTTTTCGTGGTGTGCTGATCCTCTGGTGGTGCAGGCAGAGGTGGGATTTCCTGACATGTGGCATCTTGCCATGCAGAGGAGTCTGGGGACAGATGAAAATGTCAGGGGGTTAGCAGGGATCGCTGGGACAACATATGGCAATAGGGAAGATAAAAGCCTGAGAATTGTAGCTTGGGTAGAGGAGAATACATTATTTATTACTGGGAAAACATCCAAGATGATGCCCCTGCTTGAGAGAGGCTGCAGGTAAAGGCTGGACTGCTGCAGGTGATTTGGAAGCCCACCTGCTCCCAAGATCCTGCTTCTGTGGGTGCTTTTGCAAGTATAAATTTGAATTAAAGACCCTTATGGGCATGGGGTAGTGCTGTCAGCTGCTGGGTACTAAGATTTGACAGCAAATATCCCTGGCTTTCTTGTTGGAAGGTCAAGAGGGGTCTTGTAGTTGTGATTTTGATCAGGAATTTGGCAGCCTGGGAAATCTGAATACAACCATATTGTTTGTCTGTGAGACAGCAAGGAAACGTATGCATGGAAAACATATTGGAATTTTTTTCTGTGTTGGTTGTGAGCCTTTGTTCTGTAAAGCTGCCTTTGTGCCTGTTAAGCAGGAAGCACCGTGTGCAGTGTGACCTGAGAGCTCAGCTGGTGACATGAGGGGTTGCAGGTGCCTCAAACAGTCTGTCCCATCTTCACTTCTGAAAGTGTATAATGTTTCTTTTGAAAGAGAATTTCATTGCAGCCACCTACCCCTTGTGAAACTGCAATTTGTGTTACAGTAATTGTCACTCCACATTATGGCTTTTTATTATTATTATTCTTTCCCCAGGCCTGACCAGGTCCCAGTTCCTACAGCCCCCAAAAGCTTCCCAGGAGATGCAGTTGTTGTGTTCTTTTAAGCTCAAAAACGAAAATGTGAATAGGGAAAAAAGACATTGGTAACAACAGAATTTTGAGTACAAGCTGTAATTCTCTTTCAAACATGGAAAGTATTTCTTTTTTAAAAAGCAAAAAACCTTACCCCACACCTTCCCCCAAAGTCATAGCCTGTCAAATAGCAGCTGTTTATGGCGAGGGAAAAGGAGACAGGAGTACTTTGTGGCATATTTTTGGGGGGCTTTTTATTTTGTTAATGGGACTGGTTTAGATCAGGTTCTGCATTTTGGCATATCCCTCCAGCTGCCTTTATCTCACTGGCATTTTGGGTGTGTTAAGGATGCAGGAGGAGGCTCTGCTGCAGCCCTGTGTCACCTCTGTTCACAGGCAATTCCTGGGGAAAAAGAAGAGAGGCTCATTATTTGTGCAAGGAACCTGCAGGGTTCCTTGCAGGGGAGGCTACAATTTTAAAACAGGAGAGATGTGAGGCCACTCCTGATGTTCAGATGTGAACATTTTCATCTTCTCTTGCATTTAGAGCCTGTTTTTTCAAGGTGGCATCACCAGAACGAGTAGTTTTGCCGAGTGACATCTCTGAGTGAAAGACAAAGATCTATGTACCCTAAAGCTAATGATAAATGGATTCACCATCTCGCCCTGTCAGCAGCCTGAAACAACTAGAGAGGGCTGACTGTGCCTGATGTCCTTCTGTGATGAGCTGCACCAACAAATCAAACCTCTCTCCTGCAGATAGTCTGTCTCAGTAAAATTTCACACTGTTCCCTTAAAAGACAAGAGCGTGTTGCTGGGGAACCTGACAGGAACACTGCTGGGGTGCCCAGGGAAAGGGTGGTGCATAGAACAAATTCTCTGAGGAAGGTGCATTTCTCACATGTATTTTTAATTAGGAGAGCCTTGAGGAAAAAAAATGCTGTTTTCAGTAATATGCTTAGATGGTGCAAAGAGAGGTTTGGGGTGGGGGGAAATGGACAGGAGTTCAAAGCAAAGCTTGTCTGGCTGCCAGGTTTTTTTCATTGGGACTTTTTCTGAGATGGCATCCAGAGCAGGCCCAGCATCTGGTGTCCCCTGGCCACCCTGTCTGTGTGACACTAACAGCACATAGCTGCCCTAAAGAGGAGGCTGAGCATCACACAGTCTGTGAATGCCTGTTTCTGTCTCTCTCTCTCTCTCTCTCTCACACACACAAACCACTTCTGAGACATTTGGTGCTTAAATGGCCACGCTCTGTAGGGAATAACCAGGTCTGATAGTTCAGGGATTAACAATCCCTGGCAGCCAAGCTGTATCATGTTTCATTCGTGCACCGTGTGAGCTCTCAACTTGATGAACACTTTCAAAAATGTTAATTGAAAACCTTGCAGTGGAGACTATGAGGAAGCAGCCTGTTCCTGCCTGATAGCCGTGGGGAGCCAGACACCAGGAAAGTGTTTGTCTCCCTTATCAGCGAGGCTGCCCCAGCCCCACGTGTTGGTGTTTCTCATGCAGCTTTTGCTCTGCTCCTCAGGCCCATCTTCTATTATCGTGGCAACGAGATGATGGCAGTGAGAGTCGGGCTTTACAAGGCTCATTACTGGACCTGGAGCAACTCCTGGGAGGAGTACAGCAAGGTAACTGGAGTCGGTGCTGCACCCTGGCCTCTCTGCTTCTCCTGGGGGAAAAGCAAACCTCTAAAGCTGAGTTTTGAACTGGGGATGGTCACTGGGCTCTTGCAAGCCAGCCTTTTATTCACAGCCTCTTACGAGCCAGCAGATCTGCTGCAGAATCTGAGGGGACTGGTGGCACAGCATCCCTCGACTGGAATTGGGGACAGGCAGAGGAAAATGAGCAAAGTTTTCCTCAGGAAGGAGGAGATGGGGCAGGTCCTGATCTCTTCACTCCTGTGAGCAATGACAGGACTTGGGGAAATGGCAAGGAGCTGAATCAGGAAAGGTTTATGTTGGATATCAGGAAAAGGCTTTCCACCCAGAGGGTGGTTGAGCACTGGAACAAGCTCCCCAGGGAAGTAGGCACAGCACCAAGGCTGCCTGAGTTCCAGAAGCTTTTGGATTATGCTCTCAGGCACATGGAGTAATTCTTGGGGTGCCCTACACAGGAACAGGAGTTGGACTCGATGAACCTGATGGTACCCTTCCAACTCAGCATAGTCTATGATTCTAAGTCTGAGTTGTTCTGAGGGTATTCCCTTTAATCAGCACTTAATGCCCCTTAATATTAAGCTTCTTTCCCTGGTGAGCTTTCATGTGTGCCCTTACAAAGCTGGGGTCTGATGCCAGATTGATCATGTATCTCACAACACCCAGTACAAAAGGCCTGGTACCCTGAGCTATTTCAAAGCAATAGGGATGAGTTTATTGTTTAATGGGTTTTTTTTGTTCTTGAAAAGGAAAAGAAAAGCTGTAGGAACTGCACAGTGGGAAGAACAGCAGTTGTTGAAAACAGCAGAGTACATGTGTTTAATCTATTATCAGCACTTCTGTGAGCCTGTATCACTCTGTAAGATGTTCTACACTTTACTTGCCAAATAGGCACAGCTTTTGTAATTTCCTGGCTGATCTTCTCACAATTGGATGTTAAGCACTAGTATTTTTCTTCCTTTGTATCTTTCTAGCTTCAGACTCAGGTACTAAACTCTGGGGCATTCCTTGAATGGCAGGTTCACACATGTGCCTTGCTGATTATACCTTCAGACATGAACTAAATGCATCATGGCACAGCTCTCAGCAGTGGTGACAGCAGGCTGGTGTTGGGGAGGGGCTGTTTGTCTGATTTTTTTTTAATGTTCGTTGTTAGTTGTTTTCCTTTTTTAACTTATCGTGGGTCCTCAAGGCATCACAGGTGCAGAAATAAGAGCTGATGACATTTGTGGATGTAAAAGTGCACAGTTTCTTTCATTGGGATGTCCTGGGGGTAGAAGGAAACGTCAGCTCCAAGGGAGTCATTTACATTCAGGGCTGTAAATACCTGCATTTGTCTTTTTAAGACTCTAATGCTCCAGGAGTCAAAGTTTCTGTTTTTCATGGAGTAAGAAGGAAAGTTGGCTTCAGAAATGCATTGCAGGCTCTGTCTCAGTGCTGATTCTATCCAGCTCAAATGAGATAATGTGTTTATCTAGGTCAGTGTGTGAGTAAAGCCCACATATCACCCATGGCATTGCACGGAGGGTTTTCCCTGTGAGAGGCAGTGGGAGCTGGGATGTCCCTGTGAGTGGGTGTGGGCTCAGAGGGAAGCATGTATATGGGAGATCATGTCCCATGTCAGTAACTGCTCTCTGTTGTAATACAAGCACATGCACATGCTTCCATACCTATTGGGGGAATAAACAAACATCTGCATTGATCTAAACTTAGTTGGACATGTCTGAGTGTGTGTGTAGCTGTGGTGATGGGGACCAGTTACCCATTTCAAAGATTCTCCTACTGTGAGCAATGGCAGTTGTGCAATTAAGGAGTATTTCTTTCTTTCTTAGTCTCTGTTTAACTACTGTCTGATAAAAGTCAGCAAATTATACTGTACATCAGAGAGATGATTAAAAATTCACTGACTTCCCTGCAGCTTGGATCACATGTGGTTGATGTGGGTACAATTGGAGCACATTAGTGGACAGCCCAGCCATTAACAACATGCAGAGGAAGCTGAGGCTGAAATTTGTTCCAATTCTTCTCATGTCCTTGAGCCATTAATTACAAGCCTTGCAAGTTTAAAAATAGAAATAAATCAGAATGCAGAACAGTTCCACAGTCCTGAGACCTGTTTCAGGAGTTTTATACCTTGTGAGACAGTTGCCTCTTTCAGTGACTGGTGTTCTCAGCTGTATTGATATTGGGCTACTGTTGTGCTGCCAGAATTTGTTCATTTCATTTGAAAAATATATTTAAATAGATCCATGTGTGTGGCATTAGTAATTCTGACCATGGACAGGTTTGCTCTTCAAGAAGCTTGATTTCCATCCCAGTAGAAATTCAGCTAATGAGGCTGTGTTAATGGTATAATCTTTTGCATGGATCCTCATTTCATTGTGAATCCAATGTGATTTATGGAACTTCCAGATACAAAACTCTCTACATCCAAAGGTCCAAACTCAGACCTGGAATAAACAAGACAGAGCTGGTTGGCATGCCATTTGTAAGAGGTCTGAAGTTGGCCAGATGTGTCAAATCAGCTGTATGCAAATTTGAAAGAGGTTTGTTTTATGGGTAGTTGACTATCTCATTATTTTGAAAGATAAATGGCACGTTTTAGACAAAACTCCTTTTGCTTTCAAAATTCCCTTGTTAATTGACAGAGTGGGAAGTCCCTGATACAGAAAACTTGCACTGTTTTTGATCCCCACACTCTGCATTTTTGTTTGACTTTATAGGTGGGATGATACCACTAAAGCAGCCGGGACAACAATTTCATGTTGTTATTGGAAAATGTGAAATTGCTGCATGTCCTGTGTCCATTTAGGACTATCAGGTCTTCCAGGATTAACTAGAAAGAATGGGTGCAATTTTGGCCTCCAACCTGGCAAGCCATGTATAAGTTAGTATAAATTAGTTAAGCAATCAAGTATGTATATACAAATAAAAATGTACCAGAGAGACAGAGCTCACAGAAAGCAGAGCCTAGGAAAGCAGCACAGGGATAGGAATGCTTCCCTCCATATGGCACTTGGAATATTTACACTGGAAAGATCCCACACAAGCAGCACACAGGTTCAGTCATCTTAGGCTCCCATGACATTAACATGCCCTTCCTGATCTGCATCCTCTGCCTTATGGCCTGGGATTAAAATTTGTCATCCTGCACAAAGATGAAGTGTGCTCTTCTGTTCTGCCTGGTTTTTGTTTGTTTATTTGGTTTTTAACCCCCCGAGCAATATTTTTTCTAGTCTGACTCCTCTCATAAGCTCTTGTAGTCTTTCTCAGTGCTGGAGGATACCTCACTGCTGTCTTTTCTGCTGGCTGAACTTGTTTGCTGGGTATTTTCCATTCTTGGATGGTTAATCTCTTGAAAGCATAGAGGGAAGGCTCGCTCAGGAGAAGCAGGTCCCACTCTCTGGGACACTTTTCCTGTAGGTGATTATTTGGGTCTGTTTAGATGGCTTCCATCTCCTTTGAGGTGGCTCATGTTTACATGGTTTGACATCTCTGCCATTCAAGAGGTGATCAGTGGGACAGGAACAGATGAAAGGAAACTCTACTTGGAAAATATGTATATATTTTTAAGTAGTAAAAGATTTTAAAAGAGTTTGGTAGTGGGACAGAAATCTTCCCCCCTGCACAAGGGCTGGCTCCCTGTTGCTCTGGGACTGGTGGGTGTCACACAGAAGCTTTTCCACTATTGTTGACCACCTTTCTTCTGGTAGCAAAGATCAGCAGTGATAAAAACAGCTGCATGTGGTGGGTGTTGGAGCAGAAGTTAGAACTAAGGTAAACCTGAGGAGATCCCTCTCCTGGACAGCATAACACACATGACTTTTACTGGAAGTCTGCCATAAAATGCTGCTCCTGTTGCTCTCATCATCCATCGTTTCAGCACATAAGTCATGCTTGTTTGTTTCCAAGTTTGAACTGGATTGCAAGCCTGATCTAGTTGAAGATGTTCCTGCTCGCTACAGCGGGGTTGGACTAGATGACCTTTAAAGGTCCCTTCTGATCCAAACCATTTGATGATTCTGAGTCCCTCAGGAACTGCCTGATCCAATGTTCTGTAGAGGAGCAGAGGTATGAGCTGGCAGGGAAGAGAAATGTCCTTCTCTCTGGCTGCCACGGAGAAGAGAAAGGATCTGAGGCTCTGCAGCAGGGAATAGTTCTTGTGCCCTCCAAGAGCAGTGATGCAAGAAGGGGAAATAATAATGAAGAAAAAAATGTGGAAAACGCCCTTTGGTTCCTTGGAGAGTGGCTGATAACATCCACCTTTCTGCTGGCAGCCTAATGTCCTCTCAGCAGCCTCCAGTGGTTTTTCAGGAAGGCTCCTGTGTCTTTAAATGATTGGTGTAGGTGCCTGCCAGAAGACCCTATTGTTTTAATGTAAAATGCCAGAGGGGTTATTCCTGCCCATCCTGTCTGATTGCCCTTCTCCTCAACGTGAGGGGATCGATAAAGCCTTTTCTGCAAGGGGGATGTGAAGTCAAGTAGAACCTCACAAATAATGACATTTGATTGTGGTCCTCTGAGCATCTGGGCCAGGCATTGATCGCTTCTGCCTGAGAGCCGCCGGCGGCCTGCTGATCTGCCCATCTTTTGGGGTCTCTTCCAGACGGTTAACACATTAGAAGCAATTTTTGTTCCACGGGGTTGGAGCCTGGCAGTCACACTTCCAGGTGTCTGCTCGTTCCAAGCTCTGGCTGGGGAGGCTTTTGCTGGGAATCGCCAGGAGAGCGAGAGCGGCCGCTTACCCGCCCCGTGGCGAACAGCAAGAAACAACGTCCCTGGCTTTAATTAACTGCTGTTCTTTTCACTTTCCAGTATTAGTACAGTTTTGCTGCTCTGGGTTTTGTATGGTAGAACAATGGCCAGAGACAGAGCCCAGCTCTGCTGCTCCACTATCAAAATCCGCAGCCGCTTGTCAAGTCGGAGGGATCTGGGATAGCGCCAGGGTGACGAATTGCCAGAGGGCTTATGTTAACACAAGTGGTGATTCCATCACTTGGCCCAGAGCCCAAACTGGCAACCAGCTGGATTTGTCTCATGTCTATATTGACATAGCATCTGTGGTCCATTTGCTCTGGAAATTAAAGCATAAGCTGTGCAACCCACTAGCTGCTAGATCATGAGGATGGAAAAACAATCCAGGTTACAGCGTTGCTGGGGAGAAGGGCAGGAAGATCTGCTCACTGAAAGGTCTGCCTGATGTGCCAGAGATGTTTGGATTGTTTTGGTGTCCTTTTTAGAAAAAAACAGGATTGCTGGAATTTCTCCTACAGCAAACGGGTCTTGGGGGGGTTGCAAAACACTGTGCCTGTGCAAGAGACAGGGTGCAGGAGCTGAGCTATTTCTGGTTGCCATCTGATGCTCATCCGTGGGCTCCCTTAGCAGGCATGGAGCTGATGTGCTCCAGATAAGATCTTTTGGTTTGGCTTTCATGCTTCTATAGTGGAGGAGAAAAGCTCCAAGAATTTGCTTCAACAGCATAAGTGACCTTTCTACTTTGATGGGTGTTACCTGTAAACCTGCAAATGACCTTGGACAGCATGTAAACCAAGTGCTGTGTCCAGCTATTGATCCTTGCATGTTGTTACTAACAGGCTGCCAAATAAATAGCTTGAAGGAAAGAAGGAGTAGTTGATTTGGGTTTGGCTATCCTGGTGGGTAGAGCAGGCACAGCTGCCCCTTTGCTCTTCTCCCACAGAACCTAGCCTTATTTTGGAGTGAAGTTGCCATCCTGTTGGCAGTGCCAGGGGCCTGAAGCCCGGAGAGCTCCTCTGCTGCCTGTGGAATGGAGTGGTTTTTGCTCCAGCTGGGAACCTGGCACATCTGCATTTATTGCTAAAGCCTGCAGTGTTCTTGGGGTACATAGGGCATGTTGGCAGCTCAGGCTTTTGCAAAGAAAAAAAACCACACACCTTTTTTTATTATATTTTTTTAATGAACATCAAGGAATGATCCAAAATGGTGTCAGGATTTAAAATTACCTTCCAGAAGCGAGTCCCCTTCCTCACCAGGCCTGTTGTCCTGCAGCCTGCAGGGTAGCTCCTTCTTTCCCCTCCAAGACATACACAAGAAGTTTAGACATGTCCCTCCACCCCAGCACCACACAGGACCAAATTTGCATACTTTCCAAGCAACCAGAGGCATTGTCCAGATGCTCCAGAGTGGGGATTGTCTCGTCTCTAAACACATCTCAAATCTCAAGCAGATTTAACTTACACTGGTTTTGCTCCAGAAAAGAAAATAAATCCAGACTTGGGGATCCCAGACTTCCAGTTCACTGGTATAGCTGATTTTTCTCTTTCTACCCTGACAACTAAAAATGCTTTAACTTACAAAAAAAAAAGACATAAATTTGTGGATGATGAGTTAAGGGACAGAACAGCAGGCTCCTCTGCCTGTATCTGTAGGTATTAATTTCTGTGGTGCTGGTCAATGCCCTGTTTTGGAGTGTGAGGATATCATTTTACCTCTTATTTTATGCTCTTTTGCTGATGAGCAGGTAGAAAATACTTTAAGCTCTCCCTGAAGGTTGGGTATTGGCAGTCACACAGGACATAAGAAGAGTAATAGTCAATTTTATTCGTGGAGATAAACTGAAGAGGCCTTAGAAATAAATTTAAAGGGTGGTTCCAGCCATATTTAAAGAGAGTTATTTATCAATGGTATAAAACTCTATGCTTGATTTTCTTTTTTTTGTTTAATTTTCTTTTTCTTTCTTTCTTTTCTTTCTCTATTTTATTTTTTTCCCAACAAATTGCTTTTGAAGAGGGCATTGAGTGCTCAGGTTAGAAACACAGGCAGCTTTTGGCTAGTGGTATCAGATAAGTAGTCACAGCCCTTTCTTTCCTGGGAGTCTCTGGGATGTTGCCTGGGCTGTGTTCTGGACTCTTGGCTACAAGGAATTTATAAGAAGCAGGAGATAAAATGTAAACAGAGCAATGTATAAATAAATACCCAAGAGACTAAAATCTTCTTTCAAACTGAAGCATTTGCAGCCAAAGAGCATTGTACCAATTAGCAGGCTCTTAATTAAATTGCTTGTTTGATTTGCATCCAAGTTATAATTTGGATGTTATGTAGGCTTTGATACCTTTTCATTAACTGCTCCTTTTGAGGGAAAAAAAAATGTAAAATCTATTTTTCCCTGTGTGTTTCAGAGGCCTGTGGCATCACAAGGTGGAAAGGTCAATCATTTTTGTATCCATTTAAAGTCCATTATTGGTAGGGCCACTACAACCTATCAAGCAACTCTCTTATTTTTCCAGTCAGTGATTCAGGAATCTATAGCTCTGTGCAGATAAATGGGATTTCATGGGCTTCTAAACTTCTTGCTTTATTGAAAAGCAGAATATTAACTGCTCCACTGACCAGCTGTTCATTAGAAGCACGGGATATTTTTAGAAAATTGTTTGCCAATCAAATCCTACCAACATCTGTAGAGAGCCTTTTCAGTTTGTTTTATAAGCAAATGCTACAGCTGCTTTCCCACCTCCATTGAAATATTCCCATTTACCTTCTCTCCATGTCTCTGTCTGTGTCTCGGGGCATTTTGAGGTGCTGTGAGGAGCCCAGCGTGGCAGCTGGAATTGCAAACCTGAGCCTTAACAAGTCCATTTGGTGCTGCTCCTGGCTGGTCTGTGGGGTCTCCTGCTCTGTTTGCTCTTCAGGAAAACTGGTGCTTTGCATTTCTTGCTGTTCCCAGGCACTAAAGGGGGTCTGTTCACCCTCAGAGTTGCAGGCCAGGCTCTGGGGAAGAGGGAGCTCCACAGCTGGCTGAGGACCAGGCTGGCAAGGTGACCAGGGGCAGATGCAGAGAGCTCTGCTCTGGGCCTGTGAACAGACACCCTGCTCTGTGGCCCCCCACGTCTGTAACCCATTGCTGCTAGCAAGGGGGACTGCCACTGCTGCTGCCCTTCATACCTACTGCTGGGAAAATCCCAACTTCTGGCCCCCTAGATGGGAATGTCAGTGACAGGAATGTCTCCAGGCTTACACAGTCCTTTCAGCCCCACCTGCATTCCCAGGGGAGTACCTCAGTACCAGCCTGCTAGGAAGCAGATCAGCAAATGCACCTGTTTCTTCCAGATTAACCAGACTCCTCTGGGACTGTTGCTTTTTGGTCAGAACTGCCAAGTGATTTGATCCTCTCTGTGGATTTTGAAGCCATGGAAATCAGAGAGAGCAGATACTTTCCTTGTGCAGAACTCGTACGATTAAACAGTTTCATTTCTGTCTTCTGTTTAGTGAATATTTTATAGAGTTGTTTGTTTTTTTATATAAGGCAAAAAATGTATGGTCTGCTCCAGCTTTTTTTGTCAGGATAATGCCACTGTCTGCTGATATTACCCCATCAGATCAGAATCCATTTTGCAGACTGACACAGAGATGCAGTTTAAACTAGTTCTGGGTTTTGTTGGTATATTGGAACAAGATGCTGAAGAAAGTGGCATCAGCCACTCCCTGCTCCTCCCCCTGCTCCACCTTGACTTCTGTCCTGTGCCTTGCAGGGTGTTGACTTCTGTCCTGGGCAGAATGTTTCTGGAGTGACAACCCATACACAGGAGGAGCACACTAACCTGCCACTGCTTTTCCACCTGGGGAGGGACCCTGGAGAGAAGTACCCTCTAAGGTGAGTCAGTTAACAAAGACCTGAGCACTCTCAGCATTGTCAGCTGATAGAATTCATGTACCTTGGTAGCTGCTGCTTGCAGTCTGCTTGAGAACTGGCAGAAAGTTGTTTCTGGTGAGAGCAGTGAAGGGAAAGGAACAGATCTTGGATTCACACAGTCGTGTTAGATGGATGGTGCACGTATCCATGGCTCAGCTTGTCAATCTAGGGGTCCTTATTCTGTGTCCTGCCACCCCTGGGGGAGGAGGCAAAACACCCTTGTGGACAGGACAGGACAGAGGGCAGGGCAGCTCTGGAATAAAGCAGAGGTGCTGGTGAGTGTGTGCATTGGAGTTGTGATTCTCTGTGTGTTTTGGGAAGAAGTGTCTGGTGAGCTCTGCATCCTCTGCAGTGCTTTGTCCTCTGTGCATTGGAATCTGTGGAAGGCAAGTGTGGTGACCTTCCAGTCTCCTAGCCCCTGCTAAAGGAGTTTCTCCAAAGGCTCTTTAGCCACAGGACTTTCTGCCCAATCCTGTTCCCTGCTTCCTCTGGACTGTCTGAATCCATTTTCCTCTAAGCCCACTATTGTAATGTTTATCTCCAGCACACACCATGCCCTGAGAGATTTCTGTTAGGATTTCTGGATCCATCAGCCAGCACAGCTCACATACAAACCTGCCATCTCCAAAAAAGCTCCCAAGGTGTCCCCACCTCCATCCCTCCCTCCCTTCTTCTTTCTCCTGACTGTGTTTTACCCTGCAGCAAAACTAGCTGCAAAAGGGGATGTGCAGCCTGGTCCCCCAACAGAGGCTCCAACTTGGAGAATGTGGAAATAAATAAAGAGAAAACCAGTGGTGCTGTGTCTGCCTGCACAGAAAGGGTTTTGTGCAGCAGCTTTAACAGAGATGTTTTCTGAGCTGACAGGACTGCAATTACTCAACTGTTTTAAATAATTGAGTGGATACAACTCACTCCATTACTTTCAAAAGAACTGAGCCTGTGCTGTCCACCAAGTGTTTGCTCTAGAGAGAGAAGGGAAGGAAAAATATTTTCACTGCTCTCTCACTTAACAGACGAGTACCCTAGAGGTACATTAAGCAGTGGATAAAGCTCTTCAGAAGCCCAGCACCTTAGCTCTCACTTCCTGTTGCATTTCAGCACTAAGGAAAAAAGCAAATCTGCAGCTCTTAAATTTTAAATTCGGCTCAGTAAAACTGTGCTGCTGGGTTGGGGTTCCAGGTGAGACTCTGCCCTGTTCAGATTAACAGCTGTTTTATTTTAGGAAGATGAGTGGATATAGAAATGATCTCCTCTTCCAAAAAAAAAAACAAATGGGTGGCATTAAGTGGCTGTAGTCTGAATTTGAGAGAGAGGAGCTCTTCCCTAACAGGTGTTTGCAGGACACTTGCTCCTTACAACCACCATGAATCAAGCATTGAAATGAATTCCAGTGTTACATCTGCAATCATTTCTCACATGGTTCCATTGATTTTTGGACACTCACAAGCTGTTGCTTTGATGGAATTTTATGGCAAGATTATGACTTGATTATGGAGAGCTGTGCTGTTGTTTAATATGCAGACCCTGATAGAAAGCCTCTTCTAGGAAACGAATCTTCCTTTTCTGCAGCACATTCTGTTGCTATTGTCTTCTCTTTGGTCACAAAACTCCTGGGAAGTGGGTCTCCTATATTGAGTGTGGTAATTAAATTATCCTCATTCATGGAGCTGTTACTGTTGTGTATTTTTATTTAGCTTAATTACCCCCCTTGGCAGACAGCCTGTTGGGAGTCCCCACACTGATGTTTCTCAGAAGGGAATCCAGCATTTCCCTCTGTCCCTTCATGCTGGTGTGTTCCAGCCCCAGGTCTTTGTGTGCACAGTCTATCCTGGCCACATTCCTCTGCTACCCCTCAGGCAGCCTTGAAGGAACAGGGTGGGTTCTTCAGCTCTGTCACCACCTTGGCTCTTCTGGTGCTTCATTATGTTGCCAAAGCTTTTAGAAAAATGTGTGTTGGGCCCCTGATTTATTCGTACCTTTCCCTCTTCTATGCAATCTACTCTTGCCACTTTGCCTTCTTAAATTTGTAGTGGATTGTATTAGTTTTTCTGCTGCTGTGAAGGGAGACCTGTTCTCTCTTTTTTTCTTTCATTTACTCCTTATTTTAGCACAGCCTTTTCTTCTCCCTTCAATTATGTTTATTATCTGTTGTATGACTTGATTTGCATCAGTTTGGAGCAGGGTCACATGCAAAACCACTGGTAAGAGGTTTCATTTCTGGGTGTGAAGGGCAGGCATCACACACTTTGACTTACTGCTTATATATTTGGGCTCCCTTTAGGATCCCAGAGGACCTCAGAGCCAGAGCAGCCTAGAAATCAGTCAACTGTGACAACACTCTTGACTTGCAGGGTGTTGATGTGCAGGCGTTTTCACTTCAGCAGTCTTTAGCTTGTGACATGGTGCACACCAAGGTGCTGTATGACAGGCAGTGAGAGACTTTTTCAAGGCTACCATTTCAGTTCATCACAGAACATGGAGATGAGCCTTTTTCAGCCCTTGCTGGAGAACTGGCTGCTGAAGGGATCACTGAAGATGTGAGTCCTTCAGGATCTAGAGAAAGCATGCAGAGTTTTCAGTTCCCCAGGTTTTGTTAAAGCAGGACAAGTCTTCTCTCTTCCTGACACAGTTCACTGGATTTCCCAGAGCCTGCCTGGAAATAGTATCAGCAAAAGCTTATCTCCCACAGGAGCTCTTTTCACGCAGTGGAAAACTGGTCAGGCAATTACAGGCAGGTCTTGTCATCACCTTGAAGACACAACTGGCAGTTCTGAGCCATGTGGCACTGGCACCCTGCACTTTGACATTCCCCTTCACCTAAGGCTTTGCACACATCCTTCCCTCTAGGAACGGACCCTCCCAACAGGGCTGTGACTCTTCCTTCCTGCTGTTGCCCCTCTGGTTTTGGCTGGATCCCCTCCTGCACCCCAGTTTCTGCCAAAGGACACAGTTGTGTTTGCCCCCTTCGCCTTGAAAGATGATTAGTGATGCTTCTCAGTCTGGATTGGCTCAGCACCCTGTCAAGCTGAAACTTAAAACTGTCCAATGTGGGGGAATCCACCACTTCCCTTGGGAGACTATTCTGATGTTTGATTGTCATCATGGTGAAACCTTTACCTCTAGTGTCCAATTGGAATCTCCCTGGGAACAACTAGTGCTCATCACCCCTTGTCTTTTCCATTTTGTTTCCTCCCTAGATGTAATTACTAGGGGTTTTTGAGTTGTATAAACACTCAGCCCATGGGGTGCCTTTGTCACCAAATCGATCAGAAAGCAGAACTGCAAGATCTGACAGGTCTTTTTCTTTACTAAATTCTGTTATGTTTGGGGTATTGTGTGTCCACAAGTACCACAGAGGGAACTTGGTTCTGTGTTCAGACTGTATGTAACGGATGCAGTGAAATTATCTGTTGGTAACATCTTCACAACCAGTTGTCAGTTTTATTACCCAAGTCACAGATTACTGTTTACATATATCTTTACTAAAACACTTCACTGCCAGTCAGGAAGAACACAAATAATAATATATAGCAAAAGCTGGCAGAGCTTAAAATCCAAGTAACAAAACACCCCCTGCAGACTGAGACAGAGAGAGTGTTTTGAGGCAGATGCCAAAGCTGCAAAAAGAATTTGTAACAGAAATCTCATGGTCCTGTCACTCCCAGGATAGACACACCTGTGTGCCCATGTGTAAATCATCAGGACGAGGTGTCAATCATCAAAATCTAGATGTAAAAAGATGCTGAAAATGCTCTTTAACTTGCTGTGGTTCTGATCTGTATGAGGATGTATTTATGATGGTAGAGAATCGTCCTCTCCTTACAGCTCTGGGTGCTTCAGACCTGGAGGTGAAAGGCTCCAACTACTGCAAGATTAAATGGGAGCTGGAAAACAGTGGGTGAGACAAACCCCCCTCCTTCCAAACTGGAATTTCAGGGTAGGACATGGTGGGGTTAACAGCAGAGCAGGTTACACTGGAGTTGTTTGTCGAAGGAGGAGATGGGAACAGATTGCCAAGGCACAATTACAGTAAATGAAGGAAGCACAGGCCACACCTGTCCCTGGGACCTGGCGCTGAGATCCAGCCCTGATTGGATCCCCAGAGACTTCTCAGAGGTAAAGTGTCAATTAGTGTAATGACCCTGGACTTTGTCCACTCCTTCACTCACTCTGAGCGTAGAATAATTTCATGTACGCTGGGGGATCTCTTTTAGCAGACTCCTCACAACACCACCTGCTCACCCTCTCATTCTTCCAGTGCTATTCCCAGCTCTCCTTCTGCAGGATGGTTGAAGTAGAATACAAAATGCAGCGTGCCCTGGAGGCAACGAGGACTGGAGCTTCATGCAGACCATAATGCCCAAACACCTGTATAGATAATGCCATCTTTTTTTTTTGGAACAGAGGCTGTAGCAAACCCTGCCCTGGCAGCACAGTCCCTGCCTTCAGGGAAACCATGGGGCTCCATGGAAGAGGCAGGGAGGTTCCCAGCTCCGTTAACAACACCGATCACCATGAAGTGATTATCCCCATCTTGCAAACAGATTAGAGGCACTCTTGTGGATTTTGTCTCAAAATGTACTTCTTGAGTAGGGCTGGAGACAGTTTTAACCCCTCCCAGGGGGGGTCATCGCTGCGTGGATGTTGGAGCTTGGTGCACTTGGTGGAGCTAAACGGGTCTGATGAGCAAAACATGAGCCCATCAGAGAGAGGAATGGGAATCTCCATGGGGCCAAGACAGGAAAACCAACCCCCACCAGCAGCATGGCTTTGTTTCTTCATGTTTGTAATTCCAGTTTCACCAGAATGCCAGCCCCAGGGCTGGTGCCATCCTGCAGGCATTGAAGTCCCCTGCTATGCATGGAGATACTGTCTGCATGGGGAAGATAGTCCATGGGTTTAATTGAGGAATCTGACAACGACCTGTGATGATCTCCCAGTATTGAATGACACCTTCCAGCCCTGGGGCCCATCACTGTCAGTGCTTGGACACAAGGAAGACAGCTGCAGTGGGATGTTTTAAGCTGGTGTCAACAGGTTTAGCCAGTTTAAGAGCACTAAGCCCTACTGAGACAAGGTTTATAGGTTAGCAGTAGGACTTGGAGCATAATCTATACATGTTCTTTAGCTTTAGCCAGCTTTGTGCTTCTGTGAGGAGGGCGAGTCTTTTATGTGTGCCAAGCAGTTTCTCTCGTGCTTTTGGGGAAGTCATTCAGCCTGTGCTAAATGCTGAAATAATCTAAAAGTGTAGAAGCTGCAGGGGAGAGCAGTTCAAAACCACCAGGAGCTGAGGTTAGGCCAAGATTTCCTGTCACTGCTGAGCTAGCTGAAAAAGCCAGGAGTGGCCTGAACGTGGGAATTAAAGCAAGAAAGATGATTTAAATGACTGGAGCTACTTTGTTATGCTGCAGCATTCACGTGGCTGAGGTTGCTAACGAGCAGCAACGCTGTGGATAAATGCAGTAGTTAAGATTATAGCAAAAAGAGGTGTTGTGGTTTTTTTCCGTGCAACAGGACTGGCATATTTAGAGCAAAAAGCAGCAGTGGTGACAACACGTTGGTTTTCTTTCATCCAGACCACAGCTGTGTTTTCCACTGGTCTGTCCAGATTATGGCTCATTTGGAATCCTATGTACGAAAAGCTGTTTCGATGGATGAAATTGGGCTGTCTCTTTAGCACTTCCATGTTTGCAAAGAGGCTGTGGAGCTTAATTAGTGAGCTGCAACATTTTATCTTCTGGGTCCACTTCCAAAAGAAGATCATAAATGCTGGAGTGATGACACAAGTATGTGACAGAAATAAACACATTAGATAGTTTCAAGAACAGCAGTAGGAGGCATTACATGATTTGATATCTAGTGTATCTGCTGGACTCTAGCAATTGACTAAAATATGGATTAATTCATATTAATCCTTAATACAAGGATCTTAATAAAGTGTGATTAGCTCGGCTTTGGAAGAGCTTTCAAATCCTGGCACAATAGGGGCCTTGGAGATCTAAACCACTGAAACATACTTGTCTCCCTCAACTGCATTTTGTCTCTGTTGCCATCACTGGAGCACAGAGGCTTTAACTCTCCCAGCCTCCAGCTCAGATGCCCAGCACTGCCTGCATCCCTGCTACTGCAGATCCAGGCAGTTTCCTCCATGTGTTTGTCTCTGGAGCCTTTTCTCTCCGTGGTTCCTCCCGTGTTTCCTCTCCCCTGCATGTCAGCACAGGTTCACATGAAACCCTCTCTGCCTCTTTTCAAAAAAACCTGCTGTGCTTCCCTGCCAAGCAACCTGCTGGGTTTGCAGATAAAATCTTGCCAAACTGAAGGGCCGTTGTTGCCACCAGGATGCAACCCTGGCTGAGCCAAGATTGCTGCCTTGGGTGTCCTCCTCAGAGTGTGAGGCCAGGGTGGCCTTTGGCAGCTCCCAAACTTCTCCCTCTCCCTTGGTCTTCAGAGCCAGCTGCTGTGAGAGCTAAGGTGGGACTCGTGGGGAGAGGAACAAACAGATGCAGGAGCTTTGCAAGTGCAGTCTGAGTGTCAGGGTGGTGGGTTGGGGTCCCACAGCCAGTGCTGGTGACAGCCTCTCCTCTAGGATGCAGCCAGCTGGGTGTGAGAGCAACAGATTAGTCTGCTGGAGCTTGTCATTTCCAATTCCCTTCCGGTTCTCTATCAGCAAAGCTCAGGCCCATCCCCACAATCAGCTTCTCTCTGGATGGTTGCCGAGATGTGATATTTATAGGCTTTACTGGAAACTGTTGGCACATAACTGGGCTTCGAGATGTGATTGTTTTTCAAAGAAGGAAATTAGCTGGAGTGTGGGGCTGGTGGCCAGCTTGGACTGTAAGCAAAGGGAGCCCGAGGTCAGGCCTGAGCTGCATTGTTTCTTTTATCTTCAGAAGCAATTTGCTGCTCTCTGGTTTTGAAGTGACTCTTAATGTGATGGACAAAATGAGATCATTGGGTAGTCATCCTCTATCTTAGAAATACTTGAAGAAATAGTGAAGTACACCCTGCACCACTTAAACAAGTACCTACTGGAGTAACGAAGTGGATAAAAATCTGATCATTTATAACCCTGTACGAGGGCTTGGAGCATGACAGATGGGTCCCAGCTTGGAATAATAAAGCTGTAACAGAAGAATGCAGATGGGGCAGAACCCTGGGGTGGATGTTGCGAAATGGAGGAGGTATTCTTGTCTTGGACAAGTCACTTCTATTCTTCTTCTCCATCTTCCTGTTTGCACAATATTAGTTCATCTTGGTGATGGTGAAGTTCTGTTCACCAACGGTTGCATTTGAAACCCTTAGCTTGAGAGCACTCTTGAAAAACAAAGTATTGACATTACCTTTGTTTCCCTGCAATAAATGCCTCCACGTGATGCACACGTTATGGAAAAGCTCTTGAAAAAGTGGAGGATAAACACACACAGAGAGCTGGGTGACCTCTGGGGTGACAATTCTGGAAGGATCACCTCGGCAAACCTGTTATGTACTAAGGTGTCTGGCAGGGTGTTTGTCCTGTGGTTAGGAAGCCTCCCTTGATGTTTGTTTATGGCAGACCTTGAGGACAGCCCCAGAAGCACCCTTCTTTGTACATGCTGCCTTTGCCAACAGGATCTCCCCTGGGAAATCAACAGGAGCTTGCAGCATATCTTCCTGACTGCTGTTTGGGGCCATTGGGACTAGTGGGTTTGGAAGCTGGAGCCCCATACTGAGATGATCTCCCAGGAGCCATGTGCTGCTTTGTTGGGGAGGGCAAACCATCTGCTGTCCTTGCTGCCTGAAGCAGAGCTTCTCAGACCTGCAGCCTCCAAGCCCAGGCAGGCTGGACTCTGTCAGCCCAGATGTTTCATTCCCCCATGGTTATTCCCCCAGTTAGTGTCACCTGCGTGTTTCCCTGTTCTTCTCCATTGCTATGGCACAGGAAAAGCCTTCAGACCTAGCTTAGTGGTGTGGACACTGTAATGATGCCATGTATGAAGCCCCACTGATAACATCTGTATTTTTTCCACGTCCCAGCTTTGCCAGTGATGAATACCAGAGGGTTATGGAGCGAGTATCTGCTGTTGTGCAGCAGCACAAGGTGACGATGGTGCCCGGGGAGCCGCAGCTCAACGTGTGTGACAAGGCTGTGATGGTAAGCCCTCAAAGCACAGACACACTGGGGAATCCTTACCTGAAAATGTCTTTTGTAAAGGCTTAAATATGTCACCTCGTGGTGGGAAGGGGTGTAGAAGGGAGGTGTGCTGGCTGTTCCCAGAGGAGGGGGCTGTTTGCTACCCCTGGAATGCAGCGGCGTGGGAAGGGTCGTACGAAATGAGGGGGGTTGGGTCTGGAGAGTCTACCAAGATGCTGTGATAAGCTGTGGCTTCCTTCCATAGAGATATGGCAGTATCTACAGCTGTAGATCCTTCTCCTTTTTAATCCCCTTCTGCAAATGTCAAAAGTCCTCTGTGTTTTGAGTGGTGGGACAGGGACAGTGGCTCTTTTTTAGTGATGTATCTTGCTTGGTCTCCTCCAGTTCCACCCCTGCCTGACATTTCCAAAGTCTTTATGGCTTGAAACATGATAAATATTTTCAATTCTGTTTTCTGTTTCAAATTAGATGTTGGAAAGTCACAGTTTGTTTTTTCTGTCAAATGCTGCTTGGTTTGTTGAGAACCTGGGAGAGAAGCTGGATGGTTATAGGGGTAAAGTTTCCAAATGAGTGTGTGTAGTCTAAGGGGATGTGCCTGAAGATGATAAAATAGTAACAGGCAAAATCTTTCAGATGCTGAAATAATCTGAAACAGTCAATACCTGCTGCTTAGGGTCTATCTCCACCCAGACAGGAGAGGACAAAATGTGGAGCAGTGTCTCCTTAATAAGAAGGCAAAGATCTCTTTTAGCTTTGTCACATCTTTTTATTTTTGGATGTTAAGTAGGAAAAAGATTTGAAGGGCCATTGTTTCTGTGTTGTTTTCTTTAATTATTCAGCTTCTCCCTTAATAAACACAGTTCTGTTCTCCTCTGGGACCTTTTGGGTTCAGGCACTCTCCCCAGTGCCTGGCTGCTGCCAGAGACCTTCACTGAGAAGGCATTTCTTCTGTGCTAGCTCCAGCTCCAGAAGTGGTTGATGGATTGTAGGCACACTCTGTGGCTCTCAGCGAGCCTGGGGCGGCGTGTGTAGGTGCTGTGAAAACATCTGGCAGCTCTGTTTGTCAACAGACAGTGTCTTTGGATTGCATAATGGAAAAAAGTGCTGGACTGGAGGTCCCATACTTCATCCCACACCCCCCAGCCATCTCCTTGGGACTGTTGAGAGACAGTTTTCTCCCTCAGCACGACTTGTTCTAGCTTAGTTGGGCAGAAGTTTTGCAAACCATGGGCTGCCCCTTCTGCTCTGGCTGTGGCAATGTCCAGGGCTTGGCCAAGTCCAGTTATGCCTCCCTGGTCTATAAGCAGAGGCAAATAATGACCGGTACCATGGTAGACCAAGCTCAAAGCAGGTCATTCAGGGCAGGAAGCCCTCCCTGGTGGGCTGGGGAGTTTTTCTAATCCCAGGAGAAATGTTCAAATTCCAGCAGGAAACTTTTTTTACATGTTGAGTTTTCTACTCTGCAAACTCCAAGCAGGCTGATGACATGGTCACAAGACTCAAATAAAACAGGTACCAGATGATTGCCTTTTGAGACCAGAAGTTAAGATCACCAAATCTTTTTGGAGTTACAGAATTGCTGGGGTTGATTGGGCCCTAAATCATTCCTGGGAGGTGATAAAGACATTGGGAAGAAATTCTTTGCTGTGAGGGTGGTGAGAGCCTGGCCCAGGTTGCCCAGGGAAGCTGTGGCTGCCCCATCCCTGGCAGTGTTGAAGGGCAGGTTGGATGGGGCTTGGAGCAACGTGATCTTTAAGGTCCCTTCCAGCCCAGCCCATCCCAGCCTGTGAGTCTATGAAATACCACCTGCTGACACTCTGCCTAACAATGTCTTCTAAATTCTGTCACCTCTTTATTTGATATGGAACAGAGGAGAAGAATTGTCTTTACTTGTCCACGAGCAAAGCAGGTGGATCGTTCTGTAGCTGCTGCAGTTTGGGGACTGATGGAAATGCAGCAGCATCAGCCCTCCTGGGCAGGGAAGTGTTTGCTGGCCCATCTGTGGTGAATCCCAGCAGCAGTGGAGACAAAGCTCCTGCCAAGTCAGTTCTGCTGTTTTCCTTCTGTGGAAGTGTAGGAGAAACTGCTCCATGCAGGGCAGCCCTGCTGGCCTGACCGCGTGTCTGACTTGCAGCACACATGGTGTCCTCAGGGTGCAGGAAAACTGACTTGGACTGAGAGGCTAAAGGAGGTATAATTTGGGTGTTGTTTTTTTTTTCAAAATCTCTGTTTCTCTGTTGTTTCTACAGAGCAGTCAAACACTTGAAATTCCGAGCAGTGTTTGTACATTTTAAAATTGAGAAATGGATTTAGATATCAGCATTAATTGTTCTTAAACCGTCCGGAGTCCTGGTGCAGTGAGTGAGGTGCCTTCCAGCACAGCTCCCCTCCGTGGGCTGCTCCTGCAGAGATGCCTGGTGTCTCACTGCCATCTGTTGTCAGCTGTGTGCAACAGGAACCCGCTCTGGTAGTTTTGTTCTGGGGTTAAGCTTTTCTTTTTTGCTCTGGAAGAATTTATTCCAAGAAAACGTAAATTACTTGAAAGATAAAAATCAGCAAAACGAAAGGCAGGAGGTCAGAGCTCAACTGACCTTTAGGAGGTGAGAGCAGGAATCTCCCATGGATGGATAGACCTTGAGGGAGGGACAAAGAATGAACTCCAAGAATTCCAGAAGGCAGAACAGGAACAGTCCCCTGCCATCCCCCTTAGCACAGTCCCAAATTTTATGGCAAAACCCCAATGAATTTGAAAAAGTTATTTTATCCAAATTTCCTTGGTCATTAATCCCTCTGGAAGCTGAGGTTTGTGGTGGGTTTCCAGGTTGATGTTGTTTCTCTGTTGTAAAAATGCTGGAGAAAGGTAGTCAAGGGAGGCAGATAGTTCTGGTTTGCATGCACTGGAGTAGTTGTCTCAGAAATGCCTCCTACTCCATCTGTTCATTAATTCAGCCATCAAAATGCTTATTAAAATACTGGCATCCTTATCTCTCTCAACGCCCTTGGCCTTTTGCTTTTTGCTTGTTTCTGCAAGGAAGTGCATGGATATCTTAGTGCTAAGAATGAAAACTCTTCTTCTGGATCCTGGGAAAACTGGGGGTTTCCCCTCATGGTCTGCTTGCTCCATGCTACTGTGGGAAAGAGAGGAAGGTCACCAGAGCCCCAACAGACTGCATTGGTACAGGAGAGACCACTGGAACCCAGAAGGGGAATAATCTACTGCAGAAGGATTTGTAGTCTTTCCTAAATCTTGTTTTGAACAGTGTTTGGAATTGGGAAGCTGATGAGCCCTGGAGCATCAGCTGCAAGAAGGGTTTCATTTTTCAGGCAGGACATAAAGAGCATCTTTGTAAGACTCAAAAGGGGTTGGTTTGGGTTGAGGATCAGCAGATACTTGGTATGAATCACCTTTCTGTATATGTTTTGTTTGTTTTTAACAGAATTGGTCTCCTCCAGGCTGTGAGAAGCTGGGGAAATGCCTGACTCCACCCAAGTCTGACCCAAAGAAGTGTGTTTGGCCTCACTGATCTTCCCTGCAGCCCTCCAGGGCTACCCAGAAAAGCTATCCCTGACTGGACATGTGGTTTACAGTGCATGTCTCCTCATGTTGGCACTCCTGGTTAGGCAGGCAGGGTGTGATGTATGGATGATATCATTGTTTGCTCTTCCAGAAGGGCCAGTGTTTATGTTGCTGGCTCTCAGGGGCTAGCCTGGCCTCCTCTGTTGTTTCCGTAAATGGTAACTTTTCAGTGAAGACTGTTTTAACTGGAAAAGCTCTCTGGACAGCCACAGGTCTGCCACCACCTCAGGAATGCTGTGGATGCACCATTCCTGGTGCTCCTTCCACCCAACCTGCTCTCTCCAATCATTGCTTGTTTGGATGCCCCAACAGCAGCTGTGGGGAAGTGTTCAGGAAACCTACAGCAGCCAGAAAACCCTGCCCAAACTGCCCTTGTTTTGTTTGCCTGTAACTTGTTGATTTAACATTTGATTTCCATTGTGAACCCTTTGGACACCAGCTTGTTTTTTCCTTTCTTCCTAAACTTACAAGTACTGGGTGCAGTTGGACAGCCAGGCTGCTGTGCATCTCTGGGGACAAACAGATGCTCCCTCCTGTTCCTGATGAAGGGGCTGGGTCCAGGGAGCAGAACACTCTTCCTTCCATCTCTAGCTGCAAACATTCCCTAAGTAATGCTATAAGGAAACCTGAGGATCCTGTTCATTTGTTACCTTCCTGCTGGTCTGCAGGATGTTCTTAAGGGGCTGGGGATCAGTTGCTCATTTAAAAGGTTTCCTTCATTTCCAAAAACCTGGATCCAAATACGGTGTAAGTCACACTTGTAGTCTCATGATCTGGGCCCAGCCAACCCCAGGCTCAGAAGTGCCCGTTTACATCAGCTGTTGACTCTTGACCCTGTTTCCAGTGCTCTCTCTCCTAGGAATTCCTGTGCAGACTTCCCCAAGCCCGGGTGTAGCACTCAGAGCTCACAGCAACCACGGATCCTTTGCACGCTTGGACACTGAAGATTTCTCCTCTGCTTTGGAGCCTCTTCCACACCCTTTTTAGCTATTGCTAATAAAAGTGTCTTGAACAAAACAGAGCAAGGTCACTCTGGGGCTTCAGGGGAGAAGCAAGAAGCAACCCTGAACGTGCTGTTGGCACCACCAGCAGCCCCACGTCCACCCCTCCAGTGTGTTCTACAGTGCACATGCCCTCTCCACGTGGTGTTGTGCTGCTTTGGGGAAAATCAAGGTGCTCTGTACCTGTAAACAGCCCTCCTTCCGTCCCAAGCAAAGCTTGGGGCTGGCTTGAGAGCTCTGCTTCTGTCTAACTACTACAGACTTCTCAGCTGCTTGTCCTTAGCCTCCTGTTATCCCACATGCTCTCATCCTCTCCACTCCCATGATTTATGCTACCTGTAATCTCCCCACAGTCATTCCTAGTGTGTATCTCATGAAGCTGGATAATCCTAGAAGATTGCAATAAGAACAGCTCTTGAGTTGGCTCTCACTGTTCCACCTCAGAAATCCCAGCCAACATTTCCTCAGCTGGCAGAGCCTCTGAATCTCTGTGCATCTGCAAATGCCATTTGTCTCCAGTCCAAATTTCTTAGCTGCCTTGTGATGCTCCTAATTGTCTGTCCAGCCTATCAAGGCATTTCCAGTTCACCCACCCATGACATTTCTCCTTGTTCTGACACTGTGGGTAGCTCAATCCTTGAGAGGTGCTGATCAGCCTGTTCTTCAGTGGTGCTGTAGGAGGACCTGCAACAGTCATGTGCATCTGCCAGCACAGGAGACCAGAGAAAACCAGTCACTTCCCATTTTCTGGGTCTGGTCCACCTCTGCCTTAGTGCTTTTGTCTCCCAGAATTGTTCCGAGCCCTGCAGCTCACTGTTATCAGCAGAGAGAGATCCCACCAGAGGAGGGAGTCCTCAGCTGCAGCTCCCTCAAAGTCCTCCTCAGCCCTCCCAGGGTTCTGACCAGACCTGCTGCGAACATTAGGAAGAGATCCCACCACAGGGTCACAGCTCAGCAGCTGGGCACCAGCCCAGACATGTTTCTCAGTCTGCAGCATTTACAGTGTGCACATCAGGAGCATCCCAGGTGCCTGCTGCTCCCTGTCCCCTGCCTGCCTACCACTTTGGTCTTCTTCACAGCTTGCAGTTCCAAGGATACTGCTTTCCCTCTGTGTGACTTGCTTGGACAAGCCATCCTGTTCTCGGCACACACAGTGTTTGGTTTCCCAGCACCCAAACTCCTCATTCCTCATTGCAATAACCTCTCAGAGCACGGAGACTGGATGTAAACTCTGCACTTGAAAGCTGGCTGCTAAAAGGGGTTGACTTGATGCCTGTTTATTGTCTGCTTCATGTCCATTTATTATAAGAGATCAAAGCTTAACATGAAGCAGCTACTCTATTAAATGTGAGTAAGAAGTTTTACAGCTGGATTGCTAGGAAGAATTTTAAATCAATGCCTTTCCCAAAGATGTACAGATTTTAAAGCCGTGAGATGAAGAACTAATGAAGAAAAATAAAATAATTTATCAGAAATACAGGATATCATGTGTCTGTGCACACCTGTAAAGCGACTGAATAACACCTGGCTTTGGGACAGTCTCACAAATCCACCTCCCAGATCACGGGACTGACTTGGGTTTAAAATAGCTTGTTTTGTTTCCCCTGTATTATTTTTAACGCCCACACAGCTGCCCAAGGACAGGCCAGAGCCTGGACTGGGAACCAGGGCCGTGTCCACCAGCAGGGACCAGCAGTCCCAGCCCACATCATTGCTGTGGGGCACCTCAAAAACACTCAGATGGGCCTTGGAGAATTATCCTGAGCCTCTGATCTGAAGCTGGTCCAGGTGACAGTTGCTCAGTTTGGGGAGCTGCCTGTGCTGGGGCAGGTGTTGGCTCAGCAGGAGCTGCCTGTGGGACCTGCCTGGGCTTGTGGGTGCAAGAGCAGTCAGTGCAGAGTGGGTCTAGGGGGGTTTACTGGCCAGTCAGGGACCTGCAGCAGTGGAGCTGGGTTCTTGGTGGCTTCCTTTCTCAAGATGGAAGATGGAAAGGCAAGGTGATGTCTGTCTAAGACTGCTTCTATGTGATGTTGCTTTCTTCACATTGAAATAAGTCTGCTAAATGCTGAAAGCTGAGTATCTCCCTGGGCTAAGAGTCCAAGGAATTTCTTTCTTGCCTTTAATTTCCAATTAGCTCAGCCTCTCGAGTCTCCCTGCTCTGCCCCTGAGGCTGTGTTATCATCTGACCCTCCATGCAGAGAAGCTTCTGAAATTGATGTAACTAATAATCGTGGAAAAAAAGTCCTCTTGCATTTCCAGTCCATGGCTGCAAAAACAGAGCCTTGACTTCAAATCCTGCAGCAACAAATGGATTATTTCGGTGGCAAATTAGTCTCTGTGGACCAACAATTTGGGGATCTGAACACTGGAATTGGAAACTAGAAGATCAATTCCAAACACTTAGAGCTAAGGTTAATGCTCTGCAAACTGTATTGAGTGCAGTGATGGGAGATAACGTGGCTCTGCATGGAAATGGGAACCCGAGGAAAGGAGGATTAGGAGTGAAAATGGGCAAGTTTGGATGGGGAGCGAGCGCTGCCCACGTATGGGGAAGTGTCTGGAGATGGAGTTCCCAGGCCAGTGCTGAGGATGACAGTGGGCTTTTACTGAAGGAACTGGAACTAATATCCCCAAGAAGGAGGTTGTTGAAGCTGGAACACTCACTGCTCGGGGATGCTGGCAGTTCTCAGTGCCCACCAGCTTGAGCCTTTCCCAGGCATGGTGAGCAGCTTCCAGGAGCCTCCTGATGTCTCATCGAGAAGAGGATCTCCCAGAGTTGGAGAATACTCTTTATTCCAGTGAGGATGTCATTGCAGTCACTGTGTGGAATAATTTCAGCAGCTGAAGAATGACCTTGTGCAGGTGAGAAGGGTTTGGATCAGGGCTTTGGAGGGGAAGGCAGTGCTGGGAGGTGGTTTATTGTCCATGGAGCTGCCGCAGCCCCTTCAGCAAGCAAAGAAATCCCTCCCCAGGGATCTTGCTGTTGTCCTCAGCACTGGGAAACTTGACAAACTACATGCACTTTTACTCTCTTAAGAGTTACTCTGCTTGTTCAGTGTCCAAATAACTGCTTTGCACTTGGAGTGGCCTGTTTTCCATTTCTCTTAGCAGTTATGATATTTGGAATGAGACTTTTGCCTTCTGATAGTGTTTGATGTGAGTTTTCATACACGCCCAGAAGGCAGCACAGTGGTGCCTCCTGAATTAAACTGCTAGTTTTTAAGAGCAGTTGTAAGGGAAGAATTGAAATTCCATTTGAGGGTCTTTTTTCCCTTTTGGAAACTGGCTGCTTTGAACACTGATAGCAGGCTGCATTCCTGGGCCTGTTTTCTTTATATCCTTTTTCCACCGTTTATAGTTTTCTTGTTGCTTGGAGTCTAGTTTGGATTGTAGGAATCCTAAATAGAGGTGGATCCCCAGCCAGAAGCCTGTGGTCTCTTAGGAGTGTAAAAAACCCTTTGCCATCCAGCTTCCTGAGAGAGCCAATCTGCCAGCTGGCATGTGGTTCTCCATGCCTTTTTTTTTCCCTCCTGGAGTCACTTAATGCCCTTCTGGGTGATGTGGAGGTTGGTAGCACAGTTCTCATCCAAAGGGAATCGGGGCTGAAAAGCCCATTGGCCCGTTGGCCAGCGGTGAGGAATGTGTGCCAAATCCATCAGTTCTGGAGCCGACTCAAAATCCCCTCCTGGCTCAGCCAGGCTGGCCAGAGAGAGGGGTTTTGTGTCTTCTCCTAGGGGCTGGTCCATCCTGCTGCAGGGGCAGGAGGTGCTGGGTTCTGCTCCGTGCAGACAAGGATGCTGTGGAAGGGCAGAGCCGGCCGGTGGTGCTTTCACCTCCTTTAGGGGGGGACAAAGTGAGCTGGTTATCTGGGACAGACTCTTCAGTCCTGAGCCCAGGGAGCTGGCTGGGGAGCTGCATTTTTTCTGCTGTTGAAATAAGATATCTT